ATATAATCTACATGATCTGGATGGTTTATGTTATGTTAGTTATAGTTATTAAGCAGCCTGTCTCCACTTTTGTGGATTAGTGTCTTTCTATATCTCTTGCTACTGGTGTAAGTTGCTTAAAAAACTACAAACTACCACTTCATTGTTTTTTAAATTACTTGAGGGATCCAAATCATTAAGGGGTCATGTTTGTGTTAGAAGTTTATTTGGAGAAAACAAGGGACATGACGAATGAGAACTTCTATTTTATTTTTCTGCTCAAGCCAATTAGGATTTCAGGGCCTGCGACCATGTGTTGAATAATCATTACTTCTTTGTGTTCTTTTTTTTCCTTATTTTCTTTTTCGTTCTATAGTAACTAAAAGTCTTTGTTTCAAATTGACGTAAAATCTTGTAGACTCAAAATTTTGAGGGAATTGTTTTTGTCAGTTAAACAACGGCTAAATACCCATATTGGTATTTTAATTCAACCCCATTTACCAACAAGGTATTTTAATTAGGAAATTCGGCGATAAGACATTTTAATTGAATAAAATTACCATTTAGGTCCTTTTCTCGTCGGCGGCCACTTTTCCGGCGAGAACTCATCACGTGCATTGCATGTGGGGGCTTAATATGTGTTTAAGATGTGTTTTCTGACGTGGCAGGGAATTAACCCTCTACTGTTCATCATCCCCCGCCTCTCTCTCTCTTTTTCTCCTTCCCGAACCCACGTCCACCGCCGCTCCTCCCCTCGACCACCGCTCCGGCCTCCGTCGCCCTCAGCCGAGGTCACCCCCGCGGAACTAAAGCCATAATCCGTCCGTAGCTCGTCCCTCCAACAAAGAATTCAAACCCCGAAAGTTTCACAATAACCCTCTCTCTCCTCTCTTCCACCCAAACAACCACCGCGCCCACTGTAGTCTGGAACTTGTTCTCGACAGGGGAGAAAATTATTGATTGATTTAGATGAGTTAAGGAGGCCATTTAAAGCGTGCAGAGGCTTTTCATGCTCGAAGCAACCCATCTTTGGAGCTGGACTGTGGGGTGGTTGGTTTTTTTATATGCCTGTTATCAGAACAAATGATGTGAAATCGCAGCAGTGGAATCGCAGCAGATGAGTCGGAGCTCTCCCAGACCTCAACCCCCTCCGTCCCCTCCCTGCTCAAAAACAGCCGACCCCTCACAAACATCTGCTTCTTGTAGCAATGCACCACGCTCCCCCCTCCCCCTCCGTCGCTCCTCAGCTCCCCGCTGCTCCTGACATCCTCCAGATACACCCAGGGGTCCTCTCCCAGCATCCTCATGTCGGCCACCGCCACGTCCCCAGACTTCCAGCAAACCTTGTAGACCTTCATCTGCTGGGCATCAACATCGGCGTCGGCGAAGGAGTCTCCAAACCTGCTGCTGGGCATCAACATCGGCGTCGGGAATGGAGGGATCCGACGGCGGCGATCTCGGGCCAGAGGCGGCGGAGGGAGGTGAGGGAGTCGAGGTGGGTTTCGGGAAGGAGAAAACGAGAGAGAGAGAGGCGGGGGGATGATGAACAGTAGAGGGTTAATTCCCTGCCACGTCAGAAAACATATCTTAAAACAGTATGCCCCACGTGCAACGCACGTGATGAGTTCTCGCCGGAAAGTGGCCGCCGACGAGAAAAAGGAATCTAAATGGTTAATTTTAATTCCATTAAAATGTCTTATCGCTCGAATTTCTAATTAAAATACCCTTGTTGTAAAGGGGTTGATTAAAAATACGTATTTAGCTATGACTTTTATTTAGGGTTTTTGTTCATTAAAGACTGTGGCCATTAATTGGTTCAATTCCAGGGCAAATTGGAGTAATCTTCATCTGAGATTTTTAACATTTAAGCTATTTGAAGAGTGAAGACGCATACTATCTTGTTCCCTTACGATAGAGTTGTTTAACCATAAATTTCATAGTTCGAAGTTTTAACATCAAGAGCTCACAATCCATGCTAGACTTTTCAACTATATTGGTTTCCCTGTTTAGATTTGTTTTTTTTTTTGTTTAGTTGTGAACGTGCTCACGTGGCATATTTATTGGTTCACATGTTAGTCGAAGAATCGAGAAGAATAGTTGTCTCTGGAGTTCGATTGCAACTCCAAGTTCTTTAAATTTCTTCGTAGATTCTCGGTTGTGTTCGGCAACGCATCACATTTGGCAACAGAGTGATAGCACACTCACTAATCCCTCACAGTCGCATAAATGAAAGTACTGAAAAAGGGTTTTGAGCGAGATGGAAATTTCTCCTATAACATTTGTTATTGTGTAACATCGATTACATTGATTTGAAGATCTTATTCTTCCTTCCCTGCTGCTACGTGCTCAAATCTCTTAGTACACATTGTACAAGTCACACCCGCTTGACATATCTGGGGCTATGCAGTTTTCTATGGCTCCTATCAGGATTTTGCCTACGAGAGGGAGTTGTTAGCTGCTTGGCACGCAACTAAGAATTTTGGAGTTTTGTCAGGATTATTATCGTGCAAACTCTAGGCTTCTAATTTTATGTGGATCTAATCGCAAGAGTTCTATACTCGCATATGACCCTTACCATATTGTGAGCCACATACTCTACGAATAAATTCTCCAAAGAAGTTATCTGTAACTCTTCTAATCTATTTAGATTTATTAGGGACTTTCCATCCAACGGCAGCGATAGGAATTACATCAAAAACGGCCCACATTACCGCAAAGCAATTGCCTGCTGATTTCTGATTTACAAAACTCTCTCACCTCGACTTGTTTTTTCCGGCCCTCCACATCTCCCTTTCTTGCAGTAGATTTTTGCACCCATTCTCGGCTGTTCTTCAAAAGCTAACTAGTAAGGCGTTTTAATTCAGGTTTGGTCGTCTGCTTTGAATAATTCTCAGAAATTGGTGTTTGTTTGCTGGAAGTGGAACTCAAGAATTTGTTATCTTGATGGCATTGTGATCCTCTTGGATCAGTATCTAAAGTGATCGGCCTACATGTGATTAAGGAGAGCTTAAGAATACAAGCCTTGCACTCTGTATAATGCTGAAGTTGTTTGTTATCATTGAATCATAACAGTGTTTGTATAATAGCGGCCAACATAGCGGGGCTTAGCGGCGGCGAACTAGCGGTTGGCGCCCTTTTCAGCGCCTACGTGTAGGGTTCCGGTTTGGCTTAAGCGGGAAAATCCGCTATTCATTCGAATAGCGTGTAAAAGACGGATTTAGCGGGTTAAAAGGCGGGTTCACGTTAAAAGCGGATTTTCGGTGCGATTAAAAGCGGTAAACGCTATCAACCACATATATATGCTAATATTTTTTGAAAAAAATTTCTATTCATAGTTTCATTCATTACAACAAGCCTACTATTGTTATTTACTGAATGAATACAAGAAATTTACAACTAATTGAATTTTTAGATTATTTTTTTTAGATTTTCTTATTATTTAGGATATTTAAATATTTATTTTCCGCTTATTTGATTGTGGATTTCCCGCGATTTCGCCACAAATAGCCCGATATAGCCTTAGCGGTACCCTCGCCGCGACGCGCCCGCGATCGCGCTATCAGGCAAGCGCTTTGAACATAAGTTATAAGTGCTGACATAGTAAAAAAAGAACTTGAGCATTCTGCTCCACAATAGAACATGGCAAGCTTACAAGTTCTGTGCCAATACATGGAAGAACTTCCTTATCAAAGTTCTCAGTAATTTTTATATGCCAAATAAGAGTTGAAAGAATATTAGCCAGCGAATATAAAAGTACATATTCAAAATTTATTGTGTTATACCCAAGGTTTAGTTATTATAATAAGAGATTCTGTTTCAATTTTCAATGAAGGGGTTATGCTAGTTTCCAGAATAGTGGCAAACATGCAGTAGCTGTAATTAGAGAAACCTCATCATTCTTTTTACAGTTTATCGTTGCAATATAATTTTCAAACCTTCACCTGGCATTTGAACAATCTCTCCGCTAGTTATAAATTTCCAGATTTATACATCGAGCATGAATTGTGCATTTGCTCTTATATATATACATATATACATTGAATTGATCTCAAACCAATTTCTAACATACTCAAATATCATAATATATTATTTATAAATATATAACATATTTATTATTATTTATCACAAAATATTCAAATTTTTGGGGTTTTACATTCTTCCCCCCTTAAAAGAATTTCATCCTTGAAATTCAAAAATCATACTTAAGCAAATAATAATACTAGAAAAGCACGTAGAGGGTCTAATTTAACCCGCAAACATAAACATCTAAGAATATTTACTCTTGATAAGCATATAGGGATATTTATATTTAACAATCCAGATTGACTATATTCCCACTCAACCCTTAATCGAATAGATCTAGTACGTCGAGCGAAAAATCCAAACAAGGAACCCCTCATATATATACCATATGTTCCAAGTACTAGGAGATAAGTTGTAATACTCTCATTTTAGTGTTAAGTATAAACTTCGCCATACATGCAACCATAAGCCATAAACAAGTCATACAAAAATTTAATTTACTAGATCAAACAGGTGTGGGTAGTCGCGATGTATACCCTCCTCGCGCTCCCAAGAACCTCCTCAACTCCTTTCCGGTTTCGCTGAATTGCCACAAAGGAAAAACATCTTGTTTCTAAATTTCTTGTCTTCCCTAGCAAGCATACAAACTTGGATTTTAATCGTAGTCAGATCTTTCTAAAGCTAAATCTTCAGTGCGTTCATCATTCGTTGCTGCTCTACATCATGAAAGTGCTTCCTAAGCATAGAAACATGAAATGCATTGTGTATACTAGACATCGATGCTGGAAGATCTAGTCTGTATGACACAACTTCAATGCTGTCCAAAATCTGATACGGTCCAATGTATCTCGGC